TCTCTCTCTCTCTCTCTCTCTCTCTCTCTCTCTCTCTCTCTCTCTCTCTGTGCCAGTCTTCCTCCTCCTCTCCTCCACACCCCTCTTCTCCTTATCTCTCCTTCACTCTCCCTCTACCTTTAATTTTCTCTTTTTTCTTTCTCTCCCTCTTCCCCCTCCCCTCCACTAGACTCTTGCCTGCTCTAATCTCTCTCTCTCTCTCTCTCTCTCTTCCTGCTTCCCTCTCTGTCTCTGCTTTTTCCTCTTTTGCCCCCTCTGTTCTCTGCTCTCTGTTTTTGTCTCCTCTACTGCTTTTCCATTCTTTTAAGAAATGTTTTAATCTTGCTCAGTTTTGTCTTCCTCTTTCTCCCCCAGTTGTACTTGAATGTGTGTTTGTGTGTAGATCAGTAGGCCATATTATCCCTCATAACACACACACACAAGCCATACATGGTTAGCCCGCTGGATTAGGATGGTGTCTTTCATAGCTCCTGTGTCTCAGTCACTAGATCTAAAGGTTTGCCTTTGGACAGCCTTGATTCAGGTGGACTTCTTGTCCCAGAAACATTGATTTGTGATGAGTCTCTGTAGGAGGAAATGTTTTTGTGTGTATCCTTCATAGGGATGCTATAAAGGGCTCCTTAAAATATAAATACCTGTTTATCTCTTTCTCCTTCTATCTCTCTCGACAACCGGCTAATGTGTCAATAAAAGACACTTTTTGTCTGAGGACAGTATGCTGTAGTTTGGCTCTTGCTAAATTATTGTCATTGCCTTTCTGCCTTTAGTTTAGAATGGAGACCATTTGGTTGTAGCCCGAGGTACCTATATTGACAAACGCACGCTGTTTCAACTCCTCTTGAGCAAACCATGTTGTGTTCTCAATTGTGAAACAACTTTACCTAAACTTAAGACCAGGAGAGAGAAAAAGTCCTGAGTTCCACTTATTTGTTCCCCACAATATCGCAGAGTAGAGTGAGTCGTAACAAACTCACTTTGCTGACTATGCCTCTTCAGTCAGACATGGTGTATATTTGATGATTGCTTCCTTGCAGTGCTGATGTCTGTGCCTGTGTGTCTCTTTCTGTTCCAGGAGGAGGCGAGCCGGCGCCTGGGTAGATGTGAGCCCAAGGTAATGGCCAGGCTGGTGGACATAGGCACACAGACAGATCCAGTAGTCGTGCTGTCCCTGGCCCAGGCTGCCGTGCTAGGTCTCATCTCCCAGAATGAAGTGTTCGGCGCTACCATTGCACCCAACGGCTTTTACACCGGCGAACCCAAAGAGTCCCCCGCACAACAAGTAGACGGAGTCGACTACGAGTACGCAGACCAGCTTATCGGAGCCAACGGAGATTACCTAGGAGACAACTTGGGCGAAGACGGACAAATGCAACCCAGCTGCAGTCAGAGGAGGTGGCAGCAGGGGCCCCCTCAACATCCGGACACAAAAATGGTCGGCCCCGATCGTCACAGCCTTCAAGGCGGTGACGTGTCCTCATCCCATGTGAAAGGGGAAGTGGTGAACTCTGGAATGTCCTCCTGTGTCCACATGCTTAACAATTTGGCACCCAGAGGTGGTTTAGTGCAAGTGGATCCAGCCACCCTCAGAAGCGCCAGCAAGAACTGTACAGAGTGTGAGCGGGAAGGCTCCAGTCAGCCGCAAGCCAACACACACGTTCACCCTCCTCCTCCCCCCCAGGTCGGTCACAGAGTAGGGGAACAGGGCCACCGGGGACTGCAAGGCCAGCGCCCCATGGGGGGCCACGGTCGAGGTGGCAGAGAGGCGGAAGAAGAGGTAGAACACCAGGGGAACAACATGATGAAGCCCACACAGCAGGAGGAGGCCATCAGCAGCTACTTCCAGACCAGCGAAGTGGGCAGCTATGATTCGGCGGAAATGGGCATGGCCAGCGAGTACGAAAACGGCGGCAGCCAGAACATGATGTGGACCGACGGGAGCGCAGGAGCACCGCACCAGCAGCCGCCGCACCCCCAGCCTCCCCGTCGGCACGGCGGCCGCCGAGTGGACCGGCTGGATATCAACATCCAGATTGATGAATCTTACTGTGTGGATGTGGGAGACGGTCTGAAGCGCTGGAAGTGCCGCATGTGTGACAAATCGTACACCTCCAAGTACAACCTGGTCACGCACATCCTGGGCCACAACGGCATCAAACCACACGCCTGTCCGCACTGCGGGAAACTCTTCAAGCAGCCCAGTCATCTTCAAACCCACCTGCTGACCCACCAAGGCACGCGACCCCACAAGTGCACCGTCTGCAAGAAGGGCTTCACCCAGACCAGCCACCTGAAGCGGCACATGCTCCAGCACACCGACGTGAAGCCCTACAGCTGCCGCTTCTGCCGCCGCGGCTTCGCCTATCCCAGCGAGCTGCGAGCCCACGAGGTGAAGCACGAGCGCGGGCGTTGCCACGTCTGCTCGCAGTGCGGCATGGAGTTCCCCACCTACGCGCACCTCAAACGCCACCAGACCAGCCACCAGGGGCCACACACCTTCCAGTGCACCGAGTGCAACAAGTCGTTCGCCTACCGCAGCCAGCTCCAGAACCACCTGCTGAAGCACCAGAGCCCGAGGCCTTACACCTGCTCCCAGTGCGGCCTGGAGTTTGTGCAGCTACACCACCTGCGTCAGCACTCGCTCACTCATAAGGTACGGACACTTCCTGAATGCTCTAGTTACAAACACACTATAGATATTACCTGCATAAATTAGACCGTTAAGGATTTTTCTTTTGTCGCGTAAAAGAAAAGGAGAGTAGAGAGCAAATGCTATCGGATCAGCTGAGGGAGGCTACCACACCTCTGCTTGTCTTCTGTCCTTCACCCACTGAGATCTGTGTGAAGTAGACGTGTAAGAGCACTTACCCTGGCAGGCATCCATACTCTGGACTCTTACTGTCCTTTTGTGTCTTCGTCTAACTTTTGTCGTGACTAAAACTTCTTTGGCATTTCTGAGGTCAGAATAGAAGCAAGTAAAAACAGCAAAAGGCTATATACGGTATATGACTGTTTTTTTTGCATGCAGTCACCCTGCATACAGTTAATCAGCCATTCCCTATTCAATAGAACCAGCTCCAGGATGTGTGTTCTCGGGGGAATTGAGTTTCCAGCTTCGAAAAAAGGATTATTCATGTTCACAACAAAAAAAGAGGACAGATCTGTTGCAGGATAATTCTCCTACAAGCTGTGAAAAGAAATCCCTCTCACTTAAATATATGTTTTAATCAAGGAAATGAGAATAGATACGTCTGTCACACAGATTTGATTCTGAACATCCACAATAGAGAGCGTCTTCATGTAGTCCTCATAGTCTCCATCTGAATGAAATGTCTGTAATTGCTCAGTACCCCCTGACTACTCACTCTCACACACACACACACACACACACACACACACACACACACACACACACACACACACACACACACAGGGGTGAGGGAGAGAGAGATGAAAACACAATTGATTTGATATTACCACAGGACCGTCCTCTCCTCTATTCTCCCTCAGTTTACAAATATGCCACGTGAGTTCTTGACATTTCCCTGTTTGCAAATTGCCAGACTTTTACTTCGAGTTGAAATGCAGAATTCCTGCGGATTTACCTAAATTTGATTACTTCCAGGGGAACAATAACCCTGAGCCACACTCGTCATGTAAATGAGAGAGCCAGTCGAATGTTCTCTTTTGTATTTGAGCCTGCTGTCTGTTCACTGCTCCCCCTGGTGGACCACCGCAGCACAACACATTTCTTGTGCAGACAGTGACAGTCCTACCAGATTTGTCTGCTTTTACAAACGCAGTCTCTCGACCCACTGGCGACCTTTTTAATACGTATTAGTTCTTCTCAATAAACCAGGAACCAGTTATTCAGGCCCACTTGTTTGTCTGCCGTCATAGACTGCGGAGTGAAGTGCGTAATGCAGCAGCACATTCATTTAGACGAGCCTCAAGGCCTTAGATGTTGTGAATTGTCTGCTCTTGTGACCTGCTTCTCGATGGCTACACATTTCCTGTTGCATGTGGTTGAGGATATTACTGGAACAGAAGAAAGACGGGCGGCAAGGGACTGTTGTAATCTCTCTTGGTACACCCAAAATGGCTGCTGTGGATTTTGATATGGTCAAACTGATGGGCAACATCTTCCAGGCAGGATGTGAATATCATCACGTTACCAAACCGACGTCCCAGACAAACGCTTGCTGTTTGCCATCATAGCCCTCTGTTACCCCTCCCCTGTTGTTCTGTGGATGACAGTAGATATTAAGTCACAATAGCACAAATTAGTTGTGAAAGTTTGATACTGGGCGCTCCCCAACATTAAATTAAATATACCCAATTTAGATAGATGAGTGTCACTGTTCCAGGGATATAGGAACCCATGTTGATGGGGCATTCTCCTATATTGGTGATACAATAGGGTTAATGGAAGTTAACTGCCTTCGTGAGCTGTGTGCTATCGCTGCAGCTCCAATTGCAGACCATGTTGATAAGCCGGCCAAACTACAGTAAATAGCATCCCGTTGTTCTCAGACATCACCAGAATGCACTTCTCCCTTTCACCTGCTTTGCCTCAGTCTCTCCCTCAGCTTCCCCCTTTCAAACCCTCTCGCAGCTCCTGCTCACAGATCCAAATGCTTTAAAGTTAATCCACTTCTGTCTCAATATTACCAGGGGAAATAAATGCAGTGCACGTTGCCATATTTTAACGATTGACCCATTCCTTCTGTTTGGACTCCGGTAGGGAATGAAAGGCCACAAGTGTGACGTGTGCTCGCGGGAGTTCACCCTGTCTGCCAACCTGAAGAGGCACATGCTCATCCATAACAGTGTCCGGCCCTTCCAGTGTCACGTCTGCTTCAAGAGCTTCATCCAGAAACAGACCCTCAAGACCCACATGATCGTCCACCTGCCCGTGAAGCCGTTCAAATGCAAGGCGAGTATTTGAACTTGATTCAATTTTTATTCATAAAAAAAAATAACATTCTGGGTGATAGCATTAAGTGGAAGATTTTTTTTCTAATTAATTTCAGTGTGAAATGAGATGTGATGATGCATTTGAAGTTCAATTTAATGTAACAGGATTATGTGAGGAGGAGAACATTTTCTCAGGGATAATGCGCTTTGATATCAGCGGGTTTGCTTCAATGAAATTCAAATTCTCACCGTGGAAGAACAGCCCAGTAAGCTTTGAGGCAACTGTCATCAGGCAGGATGTTTTCATCAGTAACTGCCATCTACGAGTAGCTACCTAGACGCATAACTTTTAAATTAGATTCTTAATTGTGTTCATCAATGTCAATATATTTTTTTTCTCCCCCCCCCCCCAGGTATGTGGCAAGTCTTTCAACAGAATGTACAACCTGCTGGGCCACATGCATCTCCATGCTGGCAGTAAGCCCTTCAAGTGTCCTTACTGCACCAGTAAGTTCAACCTGAAGGGAAACCTCAGCAGGCACATGAAGGTGAAGCATGGCATGGAAGTCTCACCAGAAGGACAAGGTGAGGCCCGCTGCACACGTCGTCACACATTTTCCTTTCACTGGTATTCATCCGGTGAAGGTTGATCGTATGTATGTGACTCTCTGAATATACACCTCGCCTGCTACCGGCCCGGTCTGAGCTGTAGAACGTATACACACACATGCAAGAAGACTAAACTTATTTCTATAAAAATGGTATTTGACAGATAAATCAGTTTTTTTTCAGGATCCATTGTCTTGCTTTTCATACAGGCAACAATAGTACCAACGGCTCTTTTGTTGTTGTGTTGTGTTGTCCACATCAGGATGTAATATGTTTGCAGTTACTGCGACATTAAGTCTTGCAGGAATGCGTAAAAGGCCTTAAACTATTTTCTCAATCAGCTTCTCGTCTGTGCGATGGCGATCCTACACGATCGCACAACTTTCTGCCAAACATGAGAGATTTCTGTATTTATTTATGTTTTCTTTATGATCATCTCACTAGTGTTGAGGTGGACGAAAAGGTGACGTATCAACTTTTCAATCAGAATCTGATGACAGTTTTGGGATTGCCTTCTTATGGTGCCAGGCCACTGTCAATCAAATCTGAGCAATTCTCTCCCGCGCAGTTTTGATGAAGCAGGTTAGCTGAGTTTTTTAAGTGTTAGACTAAGTTTATATGACTAAGAATGACATGATTTTTTTTGTAATCACGCATATCTAATGGTAAAGAGAATGGCTTAGGATGTGTGATAACAATTTTAGAGGCTTTGAGTTGATGCGGGAAAAAATACATTTAAAAGACAGAGGTTTTTGTTTTGTAGCACAATCATGAAATGAATAATTCCTTAATGTGTTTCATTCAATGCAAGAAGCCATAGCTTTAAACAGTACAGTAATAGAACAGTGTGTAACCCTAATAAACCATGTTGTCCCATTACGTTCTTCAGCATGGTGACACTGATTGTACTTGGTGTAAGGAAAGGCAGCTTTGTTAATGCACTTTTATAAAGCTTTTGTTTTTGTTTTTCTCCAGATGTTCTTCCAGAAATGGATAACCAGGGGGAGTATGAAGGACAGAACTTCAGCTTTACATCACAAGACAATATGGACAATGGTGGCTCCCAAAACCTCACTAAACTCACTACGGCAAACATGGACGACATGGAGGAGTATTACAATTTCGGGAAGGATACAAGCAGCTACACAACACCTTGAGTGGTGATGAACCGGAGAACATGCTTCGGGGGGGGGGGGGGTTGTCAAAGCTTTGGGAGACACTTTGGACGGGGTTTTCTTTTTTGGTTTGGCCTCCTTCCAGAAGAGCCAGAACTGAACCGCCTCTGATGGGAGGCCAGGAAGGAGACGCACTTCAAAGGAGACGTTTCTGTTGCTGATAGCAGAGACACTGAAGCTGTTGACGCTGGTCTGGAGCTCCTTTTTTTTGGGGATTACTACGCTAAGCGACTCAAAGACTCTCGCCGGCGGACAGTCGAATCTGTATGTTGTGTGTATGTGTCAGTTATTTGAAGAAAACAAAAAAAAAAAAAGTTGCAGATCCATCAGTTACATTTGATGTGATAGAAATCTGTTTACCATTTTGCCATTCACAACCAATGTATGCCCTTATATTTTTGTCTGAAAGTGCCAGCTAGATACATTTGCAACTAAGCTTCCACCGTGTCAGCTATTTACTCACTGTATATCGAACCTTTGATACATAGTCACAACATTATTCATAGGTTTGAATGCTCTTACTAAACAGTTCCTAATTGTAGTTACCCATTCCTTCCCGGCCCCTCAGTTTAAACAGGTCTTACCGGGGCACTTAGTACCAAAGTTGCAACTGTCCCGTGTCAGCTGATGCCAGAAAAAAAAAAAAACAATGTTAGCGACACGCGAAGCCCCGTCACTGTACAGATGATTCGGTTCTGCAACAGACAATGTGTTTACCCACCGTTTTCTGTCTCACATGGTTTAGCATAACATTAATAATCTATTCCGTGTAGTGAATATACTGCTCAAAGCTTTCGAATTACCCAGTGAACAATACAAAGCACTTTTTTTATTGAGACCTGCCATTTTTCTGTGAGAGTGAACTCGTTTGCCTCAAGGAGAACAGCTGGGGGGGGGGTAATCTTCCAAACCCTCATTAATGGCAATATTATTAAACACAAACGGATATGCTTTCTCTGTAGTTATTTCCTTGATATGGATATTTCACAGTTGTCAGTTTAAATGTGAATTGAAGAATTGTGCAGCTTGTGTGGAGAATGAGCAGTATGGGGTTTGTTGTTGTTTGTAGTTCCAGCACTCTTTAATTCTGGGCTGTTTTCACTTCGCTTTCAATTCACTTAATTCAGAAAGATATTTCCCCACTCAATGGGGAACAGAACACTGAGAGTGGATATCCAATCTGTAGATTTAGAAAGAAGAAAAGGTCCAGATTACATGTTGTATGATTGAATTGAAAGTGGACTGACTCTAGTTCTGTTATTCATAATTCTGTTTTGGGGAAGACAGTCAGCTCCCCCTGTCCTGCCATGCAGGTCAGCCTTGATATGCACATTAAACCAGAGGGACGGTCTGCAGGACTGCTTCTTCTTTGAGATGAGGAATATCAAACGGAGACCTCATGGAAATTGACCATGAATTATTTAATAAAGGTTCTCTAGTTTAAATGATGGAGACTGGTGTTTTAATCTGTCACTGTTTTGGGGGGGGGGGGGATCCTCAGAGTTGGGTATTTTTAGCCATGCTAGCGGCTCTAGGGATGGTCCAGGCAGAAATGTCTCAGCAACTATTGAATGGACTGTCATAAAGTCTACAGTCACTCATTGTCCCCGTGGATGTATCCTCTGACTTCCTTTAGCGCCACCATGAGGCTCACATTAGTGGTTTTAAGTGATGCGTCTCAACAACTATTGGATGGATTGCCCAAATATTTAGTTCAGACATTCATGTTCCCCTTCAGGATGAATGATCCCTTTGGCGATCCCGACTTTCCCTCTACAGCCATCATCAGTAAATAAAAATACAATTCGTCCAATCATTTTGTTTATGATTGAACGCTTACAAAAGTAGTGACTAACAGAGTAGCCGCAGGAGAAAATAAGGGATTTTAACTACATAGCAAGATGGCATGTGACATTATCTAATAACATTCATATGAAGGCGATCCCTCTTCTGCATCCTGTGGATATTTGAGAGCTGTAGTTGGTTCAAATGTTGCTAATACAATTAAAGGAAGCATTGATTCCACTGTATAGGTACTCTCACTGCAATTATATAGATGTTAGTATCCAGTGCCCATCCCACTGAGGTTTAGTGGACGTGTACACGACGTCTAACTTTTAAAACCAACAGCCTCTGCTGAAGCTGTCGTTTGCGCTAATTAGCAAATGTTAGCCGGCTAACATGCTAAACTGATGCTAAACATCATTGTCACTGTGAGCATGTTAGTATACTAATGGAAAATAAGGAAAAAAAGTCAAGAAAATTGAATGAATATAAATAAACAAGGCAGATCACACATTTGATTTATTTATTAACTGTAAAGGGAGTATCCTCCCTTAATATTAACCGGTAATCACTCTTAATTTGTTATGCAGTCAGCTGGCAGGAGGTTAACGTCTTGCCTTCGGACGTGTTGCCTGTTGTGGGAACTGAGATCCAACTTTTGGGTTTCGTCTGTGGTCTCTGAAGCCTCGGTCAACTCTAGTGCAGACCCACCCTCTGTAAAATGCATTGGTTCTAAACTGTTTCACCGATGCTTTGCATTTCTCAGCAATTATACTTCCATAGGAAAGCATGTCCCAGGACGGGATTGAACAATTTGATCAGATACAACTCTTTTATGGCTGCAGATCAGATTAAGTGGGAGGTTCTTCAGCACTTCATAGTTGCATAGGAATGTTCCACCAGGAGGAAATTAAAATACGAGGGGAAAAGAGCTAATCGAAATGGTAATTATTTTGATAGAGGCACCTTGACTATTTTCTTTTGACATTTTAGTGACTGGGAGAAAGAGACGAGCATATTCCCTGGTCAGTGGTTCAGTTATAAAGTTAACTTCTGTCAAGATGTTAGAGTACCAAATGCTGTCGATTGAGAATGAACGGCAAGAACCACACACTGTCAAACTAACCGTTAAGTCAGTTTGCATGTCCTTTAATTAGATGACCAGCCGGGCCTGATGACATCCGATTCACATTTACTTCCTGAAGGTATGTTTTGCTTAAGTCTACTTTGTTTACTTGATAACAGTGAAAACCAGGTAACCTAGATTAACAGATACATAGTCTGAAGGTAAATTTAGGTGTGATTGACAATTTACCCGACACAATCTGAATTGTCCAACTGCAGCAAGCCTCAGCAGTTCTGCACCCATCAATAACTGACTGATTGAATTGGTGAGTATCATCATAGTGCAGAGGATTTGGAAAATTCATCCAATCACCCCCAAAATAATTGTGCATTTTCTGCTCCTATGTTCAGGTTAACAGCACTGAACAGTGTTGCTGATGAAGATAAGAACAGAATTACAACCAAGCAGAATTAGGAAACATGGCATTATTGTTCTTTTTTGTACACTCTAGTCCCTGAAGATACCTGCTAATTAAATGGGAAGGCATCTTCAGGGAACACTTAACAATAGCATTGATATTGATACATACACTTAAATTAGCTGGACATTTGGCAACAGGAAAAGCAGAGGACCGTGAGCACAGTTATGTGTCAGTGAGCTATACATATACAAAAATGGCACAAAAATGGCTAAATTGGTTCCTTCAAAATTGGATACAAAGATTTATACAAATGAAGGATAAAAAGTGGCTAAAAAAACATTTGGTTTTTTTTCTACATTGGCAAGTGTGTCTACCATTTGCTCAGAACTTTGTCCAAGTTGGTCCTGATAGCATCCAGGAAGTCCGATGTGTTCACATAATGTTCATTCAGCTTGCAGCTGCAAGATAAAAAGTGCAGGGGGTTTACATTTGTAATGAATTGTCATAATCTGTCCTGATGTTAAAACATTGGTAAAGGTAAAAACATAACATTACTGAGGAATCTAAAAATATAAACCTACTTGGCCAAGCCATGGATGCAGCCTGCAAGGTCTTTGGTCATCACACCATTCTCCACAGTTGTCACACAGACTTCTTCCAACATCTGGCAGAATCTGGACAGCAACAATGCAGAGTGACACATTATTTCGCTGTAAAATTGCGTAAACATTATGCTGCATGAGTAAATGACATTAGATAACGCACTTTATCAAATCAGGATTTCCGTCCAGTTTGCCTCGATGCTCCAGTCCTCTGGTCCAAGCGAAGATGCTCGCGATGGGGTTGGTGCTGGTTGATCTTCCCTGCAAAGAGAGGACACAGTTACGTTTAGTTACAGGAACGTCAACATGTCTTGTGGTTGCTTTGCATTCAGATTCATTGATGCCACTGTGGATAGAGATGTTATCGTCGCTGCCTCTCCCACCATGGACTTAAGGAATGGATTTCCTGGATATATAAAAGGTTTAATATGGCGAGTCTCATCTGTATGATCCTAAAGCACTTGTAACATAACCTGCACCAGCATTTACTATTAATGACATTGATCACTTCTGCTTTCAGACTCATTGTAGCTCTGCTGAAAACATCACAAAACTTGACTTAGCCTGTTGTCTGTGAGAAAATACTCTATACTCACCTGACAAGTTATCTAGAAATGTGAAACAAGCTGCAAAACTGTATTTAATAGTTTCTACACTGAAACACCTGCAATTCACTTTAGTTCTGCAATTCAACAATCATATTGACACAATTTCAGCCCAATTTATTATCAAACATACAGAATAAAACATTTAATCATGCTCCCTTTTACACATTTTACTCAACTGAGTCAAGTTGCAACTACTCAATCAACACTTGCAATTGAATACCGATTAAAAAAAAACAAAAAAAAAAAAAAAACGTTTTTTAAAAGCCTTGGTCCATCATCATTTCAAGAGCTCAGTAGTCTGAACAGTTTGCATGTTGGACAGTTTGCACTCCACTGGCTTCCAACATTTAAAAATAGTTCGTTATATATATGGAGAATCACAACTTCAACTACAAACTTTGTCCTAAAACTAACCTCAAACCAAGTCCCAGCCCTGAATGAGTCCTAAAGTAAAACCCGTCCCAGCGGTGTGACCCGGGGGCTCTTACCCTCTGGTGTTCGCGGTAGTGCCTGGTCACAGTGCCGTGGGCGGCCTCGGCCTCGATAGTCTTTCCGTCGGGGCACACAAGCACTGATGTCATGAGACCTAAAGAACCAAAACCTGGACACAACACACAGAAAACCCCGGCATCACAAGGCAATCGCTACTGGCAAAAACAAGCCCACACACAAAACATGAGGCGTAAAAATTAATAAAATAATGTGTCATTGTGACTGTGTGGCCTTCGCTGAGCGAGGCAATACAACAACTGCCGTCCCACCTTTAAAAAGGGAAAGGTGCACTCACCCTGAGCCAGAATGTCTGACTGCACATCTCCATCATAATTCTTGCAGGCCCAAACAAATCCTCCAGAAGACTTCAGGACCTGGGCCACCATGTCGTCAATAAGACGGTGCTCGTACCAGATCTTCAGCTTGTCAAACTTTGGCTGGTAGTCCCTGAAAAAGACAGAATAATGCTTATGTCTCCTTCACACTATTAAATTAAGCAGCCTGACCATTCCACATTAAAATTGTGGTTTGATCACCACATGAAATTGTCAAGAGTCAGCTAAATAGTTAATTCCTTAAGCAACGTAATAGAACAACCCAATGCATTACGTCTGATTTCTCATACGTCCAGAATCTTACTTCTCGAAGATGTTTTGGAAAATGTCTTTGAAGCGCCCGTCGTAGGCCTTGAGGATGGTGTTCTTGGTGCTCATGTACAGAGGCCACCTTTTCTGGATCGCGTACTGGAAGCAGCTGTGAGCAAACCCACTGATGGACTGTGCAATGAAAATTAATAAGAAAAAAGGTCCAGATTTTAAACATAATAAATCCCAACTTTACATCAAAAAAAATATAAAACAATGCACTCCCCAAATTAGCTTTACCCATTTATAATATTGCATTGATTTTTTTTGGATACTAACTCATGTAAATAAATGAAACAACAAGCCCTTTCTTACCTCATCAGTGTTGTACATTCCCAGCCCACAGCCCCCAGCGGGAAAATCATACACCTCCCACTCCCTCGGCTTGCTTCCATTGGCTGGGACAAACACCATCTTGAACTTGCCGGGCTGGTCAACAACAAAGTCTGTGGCCCTGTACTGTGAGATTAAACATATCAAACCTGGGCTGTGAGATTCTTCCTCTGTCAGTTTGGGGGCAACACACATTGGCATCCCTTACCTGATCGCCAAAAGCGTGTCTGCCGATTGTTATGCCTTGTGTCCAACCGGTCACAAGACGAGGGATGTTTTTACAGAGGATTGGCTCACGGAAAACGGTGCCACCCAAGATGTTCCTGATGGTTCCATTAGGACTTTTCCACATCTTCTTTAGCTTGAACTCTGGGAAAAAAAAAATATGCATTGAAAAGTTTTTACCATTTGAAGACCCAAAGAACAGATCCAGAACAGTTAAGAACTCCTAAAGAACCAAAAAGTATCATTACATGTATTCCTATTAACATACAACTGATTGTATTACTAATGCAGCTATTGGTTGACAATGGACTATACTGCAATGCAAAACACTTGTGGTGACCAAACTACAGGACTACAATTCCCACGCATTCTAGCCAATTAATGGAGTCGGGTGTGAACAATTTGAAGCTGGAGACGCAGACGAGGGACAGTTGTCATCCGTGTAACGTAAACCCTCAAGACGATTTAAGTTTGCTTATCATTTTATTTGGATTTAATCTTTGTGAGGCCTACTTTCAACCTTTATTTATCTTGATTAACCGCACGAGACATTCCAAAATAACCTGAAAGAAGGTGTTGAGAATATAAATATATTTATACAAAAGTGGCTTTCAGAAGGCAAGTAGAAGGAAGCCGCGACAACTGTTGTTCTACACAAAATTAGAATAGTGTAGATAGCACAGGTAGCGTATTTAAACACAATGAGTCAAACTCACCCTCGACTCGGTCCTCGTCGGGGGTGATGGTGGCACACTTGACAGCCACATTGTATTTCTTCGTTGCCAGAGCGGAGTCGATGGTGACCTGGTCGTCTGTCTGGTCACGGTAGGGCAGACCCAGGTCAAAGTACTTCAGCTCAACATCCACATTGGGCAGGATGAGCTGCACATGAAGAGATGTTGATGTGTTATTTGCACCAGGGCAACACAGAAACCACACAAAAACATGCACATGTGCAGTCTTTCTGATGATTAAACCACATTAAACACATTCAAAGGGGACCTACGGTGTCTTTATACAGTGAAAGTCTAAATCATTTGATTTACCTTCTCTTTGATGAACTCCCAGATGATGCGAGTCATCTCATCGCCGTCCATCTCCACCACCGGCTGGTCCGCCTTGATGCGCTTTGTGGCATCTGAAAAGTTCAGTTATACATGTTTTACAATGTTAGAAGGAAAGAGATTTTTTTTTATAACTTTATTTTTTATGCATTTGAACAACAAAAAGTCAGGAAATCAACACACACATTTGGTCAAACGAAACAAACATTTTCTTGAAATGTTGACCCAGCATAAACACACAAAAACATAATTCAAGATTATTTAAAGCTTGTCTCAGTCGAAACTACTGCTCTTGCATGTTTTCATTGCCTTTTGTACACTTCTTGGTTCTTGAATTAATTGTGGCTTTTTGCAATTTGAGAAGGAGCCTTTAAACTCACATCCCAGTGGGAAAGCTCAACATCGAGTGGAGAATATCTCCAACATGACATGTGACACTGTCTGATTACCAGACAACCAACGGATGACACACAACACACCTGCATTTGGTTTCACGTGGCTTTCATTACTTAGGCTACTGTAGTCACGCAGTTACTGAGAGCTCTGCCAGGCAGTGTCCTTGGGATTTTATGACTGCTTTGATAGCAGGTTTCACCTGGCAAGCCCTTTTAGTACCCGACACACACACGTGGACTCACATGTCAAGATTTATTATACACTTCATAAATCTACTTTGTGTTTGCAGTGCACATGTCCTGAGGCCTAAATACATATACGGTTTGCCCTGGGAGATTTATACAACTAATTGCTTTTCTATTCAGTATGATAAAGCTTTTTGTAGGTTTCTTACAACAACTATTGTGTTGTTTTAACTTTCTGCTCTGCCTTGAGTTTCGCAATTTGGTACCAAATCAAAAACACCGACTCTGTTTTCAGGATCGTATGTGTGATTCAGTGATGGCACTTTGCCAACCGGCAAGATCGACTACGTAGGCTACCGGTTTCCACTGACGCCTACCATTTATTTAGTAGTGCTCATTCATAAAACGCGCACACAGCCAGGTGACCACATTAATGCCGCCAACCTCACCGGAAATCTCTTAAAAAGACTTACAGTTCCTCTGTTGCAGCCGGTTATGGCAGACGGCGGCCGGTGAGAGCACAGCGGGGGTTTGCGACAGTGCAGCGGCTGTACTTCTGGTCACAGCCGTCAGAGCTTTGAGGTAACCCGCCATGGTTACTAGGAACTGATTAGTGTCGCAGACACAGTACCCTCTTTTACTTATTAATGAACGACAGACAGGTAGAGCACGGTTACGATCCGACGTAGGTGTACACGTCAGCTTGGATAGAGCACGCTTTACTCTGATTGGCCAGCAAAATCGGTTCCGGGCCAATCAGAATGAAGTATGCTCGTTGACGTAGCCGACGGTGAGTTCAGCGTGGGTATAAGGTCACTTCAACCCGCCTTCCTTCTTCCTCTTTTCCTAACCCTCACAGCAGCCTGTAAAGGTGGAAGAATACTTCTCTTCTCACACTGGTGGTGGAAGAAGTAGCCTACCTAAATATTTTTACTTGGGTAAGATTAGCAATAGCTCAGTGTAGAAATACGCCTTTAAAAGTGAAAGTAAAAGCATTCAACATGTTACTCAAGTAAAGTAGCCTGTACGAAAGTATTAGATTCTAAATACTGGCATACTTAAAGTACCAAAAGTAAAAGTGCTCATGTTGCAACTGGTAATGGAGCTCATTTTAATTAATATACTGCTGGATAGCTTGTGAATTTCCCCCTGGAGATCAATACAGTTTTATCATAATCTTTAATAATACCTAATTTATTTGTTGATTATATTTTTTGTAATATTACTTACTAATGGTAAGTACAAATAGCTCGAAATTGTACTCGCGTACAGTACTCGAGTAAATGTACTTTCTATCACTGCAAACTGTTGCATGAGGTGTGTGAATGTATTGAAAGAGAGAAGATATTCATATCAAGGGACAACAATCTTATTTTAACAATACAATTTAAATTAAAAATCCACTTTACGTGAAGCTGGATCTAAGTTGGCACCGCCATACACATTGTGCCAGAAAATAACAAAATTGCTCAAACTACGAATCACAATATGACAACGTTAAGAAACTGGATTTTCATCTTTACCAAAAATTTCTTTCTTCCCAATTTTATTGAAATCTGTTGACTGGTTTTACAGATGAACAGGACTGCAAGCATCATTTTGTTGTTGAAAAAGAAAAGCCATAATCAGTAAACATATCTCTTTATAAAATAACAGATGTATAATTCACAAGAGTGAAAACTGAGAATCCAATCAGCAACAGACCAATTAACAAAAAAAAAAAAAAATAGTAAACTTTCAATTTGGTGGGAAATTAAAAGAAGATTTCTGAAGGCACCCAAGGGGATGAGGGAGACAGAGCTTCTAAGCCTCACATTTTTTCACACATAAATTAAGGTAATAATAAACATAATACACATTATAAAACAACCTACATTCAGTAACAACTGATTTGCCACAACATCTTGTGTAATTACCGAGTATCCAGAAGAAAACCTGTGACTGTCCTTATTAACAGACATATCAAACTAAACCTGCTTTGTGTTGCACTAGAAAAATATAATAAATAACCTGCGCAAGGTTGAAAGGTGTCAATCTCATTTTCAAAACAAATCAGCACAGACATAAAAAAGGCACTCACAAGTTTGTATGACACTTGGTGAGCAGGAAAAAAAATAAAAAGGCTTCCCAAACTATCCCTTTCAACAAAAAAGGTCTGCTGAAAATACGACAAGATGTGTGCTAATCTCCAGACGCACTTATGTGTTCACATTGACAAGGTTCATCCTGTCTTTCCGAGGGCACATCAACACTACGAGTTCTAAGTGGCGGCTGCCACGGAGCCCTTCCTCTCACTGAAGAAGCTCTTGAGCATCATGACTTGACCGACGCCGATAACAAACAGCAGGACGGTTTCTCCGACGGACCAGTAGGTGACCCGCTCGAGGAGATGGTCGGCTTTTGTGCGGTCGTGTGCCTCTCTTAGCCTGTACCATGTCTGCGAGTCAGCCACCGTCTTCAGGACCTCATGAATGGCGACGCAAGACGACTCCAACTGAAAGTAGAATGATCAACGCAAATCAAATCGAGAGCACAGGAAAATGGCGTGGGGAAACGCGTACGGCAGAAGGAAGGTCACATATATGTAGACACTATCCAAAACTGCTCCTGAACAGATTCGCTTCAAACAATCCTGTCTGTAGTAAAGCATTAAATAAACTATAACTAGGGATCTACAAATGTGGGCCGATAAGGGGAATCTGAGTTGTACGCGGTGTTCTGATAAACTGTAGTGATGTCAAGCATAGAAACTACAATATTTATGAAAATGTTCTGACTCCAGTTTGTGTAAAACTGAAACAGACTGAAAGGGGGGCGTCAACAAACCTGGGTGTTTTAGGTATTGTGGGGTAAGGAGAGTACATTTAAATACTTGCAAATAAGATTCAGCCATGGTTAATGCAATATTTGCAGTACACGGCGATACTTGTCATCTTATATTCTTCCGACTTTGTATTGCAACAGCAACACAGCAATGTCCCTCAGGATAAATGAAGTTGCCTCTTAAGTTAGAACATCTCTGGCTCCACCTAGTGGACTTTAAACTGTCCCACAGCTGATTACTTACAACTTACAAAAGACAACATTATTGGCAAATAATGTCTCTTTAACCTGGCTCATACTCTAAATGTGGACATATGGATTGTAGTTTTATTCTTGTCTTTGTGTGTTTTCTGTGCACTTGCCAACCAGGAAGTGTTTTCAAGTGTTTCAAAATCAGGAAATAGGACTACACAGTATAAAAACAAATCCATAACCCTAACTTTAAGGCAAACCATGTGATTTAGTGGTTCTCTGAACACTTTAATTGTTTAAGCGTGGCCCCTTTTGAAGGGTTTCCACTGCAGCAGACAGAGTGTGAGCACCTTGTTCCTCAGACTTACCTGAGTCAGCGCTGTAGATCCAGTCATGGTCTGAATGAGAGGTTCCTCATTTCCGTGGCGGAAATCCAGGTACACAGTTTTATGTGTAAAAGTGGAGAACTCATTGCTGAAGCAGACCTTGTACACCCCCACCATAGCTGTGGTGTGAGAGAAGCTGTCATACTGCTTCTTCTTCTCATTATACAAGACGTTGTTTAGCGGATCGGTGACGAAGCAGTCCACATCATAGTTGCCTCCTGCAATGACCTGAAAGAAAACACTCATGTAAACATGTGGATGACAGAACATACGCATGCCAATACAGTTGTGCCATTGTAACGTGATGTTTTGTTGTGACATATGGATCGTGCAAGATTGAACCGGTTCATACTGGTTATGCAGCAAATAGAGCAAACCAGTTAGGTGGGTTACTTTTGGTAAGAAAACACATTTCACCAAAACAATTGTTCCTAAGTTTAAGTGTGTGATAAACTACAGGTAACGGAATTAAAGAGGGCTCAACTGTAGTTGGCAAATGGACATTTTGAAATGATAAGAACCAGAAGGAGAGACAGAACAATTTACTAGCTTAAAATATACATATGCAGCATCTTGTAAACACACACTTGTGGAAGTGATGAGGCTTTTTTTCAGAGTAACTTACTTGGAAGTCGATTTCAAACTTCACGTCTTTGTCTACTTCCTCGTAAAAACATTGCTTTTCGTTGTCAGTGAGCTCAAAGGTGAGCTCGGTCCCAAACACCACAAACACATGCAGCAGCAGACAGCTCAGTCCCAGGCACAGCATCGTGAGCGCGAGAAGAAACAGCTGAAGAGCTGCAGACAGTGTAGCACTTGGTTAGCAGTGATGCTAACAGGGTTGTAGCTCTGACGTGGCACGAGCACGAAGAACTTCCGGGGCAGGTTTGTTTATTTTATGTGAAAATAAATAAGCCCAATGTTATCACACTTAAAAATATTGTCAAACACGACACACTGTAACTCTAAATGTGAGTCAGCCTGTTTTTAAACAAGTTAAAGCCACGAGACGACACATTGCTGCGATACATCTACACCGATGTCAGAGTCAGAGCCGTTTATCTAATCCAATCAGAGCACCAGAGCACCAACCGCCATGAAGTTCAGTTTTCAAAATAAATGCCAATTTGTTTTCAAGTAAGGCAGCACACACATTACTTTTGCTTTTACAAAAAAACACCACATTTTATGAAGTAAAAACTGAGTTTTTAAAAGTCTATTTATGAGTTATTTGTTTAGCAATGTTATTTTCAAGGATTCAGATAAATGTATCCTGCATTTAAAATCTATTTAACTAAAAATACAGAAATATATGTAATGCATTTACAGAACATCCTGTTGGTTATTTAACCTATAAAATGAATGAAATTAAATGACATTTTAATTCACAAACTGATCATGTTTTGCATGTAGTCTTACGTTGAAACAGTAGAGCAGTTCAATAATTGTAGTGAAGAGTATTTGCATCAGTAGTGGAGTGGAAGTATAAAGTAGCACAACATTGAAAGACTGAAGTGAAGCAAAAGTACCTCGACATTGTATTTGGGTCCAGTACTTGAGTAAATGGTTACTTTCCACCACTGTTGTTTTGACAAATTCAATTTCCCAGTCGTATAAAATAAAGAACAATGATTACGATATGATTCATTTTAGATTAGATCGATTTTTTTTGTTGCTACAGCAGCATTTATAGGTACAGGCAAAGCAAAGCAATAACAGAGTAAAAAAATATGAAGTATAAAAATGCACAATATATACAATAAAATAGAATAATATTAAATGAACTAACTAAACAATAGTGCAAAGATTTAACAAACAAACAACAGTGTAACTGTTGTAGTTGTGGGATTGATTTGGCCAGAGGTGATTTATTGTAAACTCTTATTGCAGTGGGCAGGAATGATCTCCTGTAATTTATTTGATAAAATGAATGAAAATCAAAAATATGTCCTCAATCCAGATCACTGTAGAAGTGAACACTGCGGGTGACGATATGCTGCTTTCATTTCCTTGGGCCTGACATGTTATATTTTCATTGTGAACAGAGACAAATCAGCAGCAGTTTATGTCTTAAACTACAACAAGTTGCCGTGTTAACAAAAGGTACACATTAAACAAGAGTCTTATTCTGAAAATCCCAGTAGGTGCACACTTCCGCACAGGGAGTTGTCTTTAGGAAGAATTGTCACCTTTTTATACAGTTTGATAGCATTTGCTGTCATCCAACGAGGAGTGTGGTGTTATTCTAAACGGGCCGGTGTTTACTATTAATTTGTGATTATTGTGATTACTTTTCCACTGAAGCTTGCAGTTATTTAAATTGGTTAATAATTAACAGGCTAAAGTATGCAAAGCTACGCAGAGACAAGCGGGCACTTTTTAGAGAGTCATGCGACCGGTCTCGCTGTTGCTTTTGTTGCAGGTAAATACATTATTTCATCAGAAGGATATTGTGAATGCTAAGTTTCCTTAAATGTCAGCGCAAGGGCAGGTGATCATTACTAGCTGCTGATAATGTAGTTAATGGTATAAACTCTGTAACGCATCATTCACGAAGAACCCGTTTATTTCATCATGACATAGGCATTCATTGTGGCTGCTGCTCAGTTTGTGAATTGTCAGTGAAATAGCTACTTGAATCAGAATAGTGAAGTATTTCACTTATATAAAGATAATTTTAGTATTATTGTCACAAATGTATAAATACGCCTATTATAATCTCTTTGGATGTCGAGCCATATCTGAAATACCAAAGCAGGAGTTAAATTCGATATATGTATTCTCCTGCAAGAGTATGTGTTTTTCATGTCACATTAACAAGAACCAAGACTATAAAGAAATATATTAAGCCATGGGGGAAATAAAAAATTGATAACCACAACTGCATTTGATATTAAAGTTAATGTTTGTTTTTCTGTTAGGGGCAGGCATACTGGCCTTGCGCAGGTGGCTGGCTGGGGGAGTGTGTCGGAGCAAGGTTAGACTGGATGGAAAAACAGTCCTGATCACAGGAGCCAACACTGGCATTGGGAAGGAGACGGCCCTGGATATGGCCAAGCGAGGTAAGACCCTCACCTTCTGTAAATGTTGTTCGTTGTTATGTTTTGTCGTTTTTTGTGCAGCACTTTGTTACTATCTTTAGAGTGGCTTTGGATTGACCTAAATTCCCTGCTACCGTGACTACTAATTCCTTACTACTTCCACTAGTTTAACTCTTGAACACACTGACCCTGTTTCTTATTATGTCAAGGAGCCAGAGTGATCCTAGCCTGCAGAGACATCACCAGAGCCTGCATTGCGGCTGACGAGATCCGGCAGCAAAGTGGCAACGGCAACGTGGTGGTAAAGAAACTGGACCTCACGTCAATGCGGTCTGTCAGGGACCTGGCCAGAGATGTCCGGGAGAATGAGCAACGTTTGGACATCCTCATCAACAACGCAGGTATGTTGAATTCACTGCAGGAAAAGTAATACAGTACTAATACATATAGAGGTGCAAGCGAAACTTCTTGGGGTGGGGACAGAATAAGAGCAAACTTCATGACATACTGTTTGATTTTACACTTAAAAAAAAAAAAAAACACATCACAGCTTAACAACCTGTATCAAAATTAAGTGGAATTAAAAAAAAAAAAAGCATCCTATATATTTCATATGAGCAGCTGATTTTTATGGCTGAAATTGAGCGGGCTGTATTTATTGACTTGTGTTTTTAGGCCAAAAAGTCACCTCAGTTTGGGGTCAACTGATGGTGGACCAAGAGGTTGTATATTAAGTTTTTATGTTACGTTTATCTGTTGATTTTTAGGTGTCATGATGTGTCCTAAGTGGAAGACTGAGGATGGCTTTGAAATGCAGTTTGGTGTCAACCACTTGGGACATTTTCTCCTCACCAACTGTCTTCTTGACCTGCTGAAGAAGTCAACTCCAAGTCGCATTGTCATCGTCTCCAGTCTGGCACACGAGAAAGGTAAAGACGATACTTTGCACTTTTTGTCCATCAAATCTACTTTATAGTGAGAAATTGTATCTCTGACGTTTTACACCCCTCTTAGTGATATTACACTTTGGTTGGATATGACAGATACAACTTACATGATTGGATTTCAAAATGTAATTTCTGCTTAAGGACTACACTGGATTGTTTCTTGCAGGCAGCATAAACTTTGATGACATCAACCTTGATAAAGACTACCATCGCGAGGAAAGCTACAGGCAGAGCAAGCTGGCCAATGTGCTCTTCTGCAGAGAACTGGCTTTGAGAATGCAAGGTAGGGCCCAGTGCATGCTACTCCACACTAATACGCTGTTGATCAAAAAAGTTATCATCAATCAGATACAGTAGAGGGTTAAGTTGATGGGAAAAAAATCACCTCACACTGTCCCAGTTTTTAAATTTTCTTGAATTAACACAGTCTAAATCTCTGTATCTTTTGTTTTTGCTTTGGTGTCATGCTTTGTATTTGATTTGATGGATCTCTCTCCCTCTCATTAGACACTGGTGTGACAGTGTACAGTCTTCACCCTGGTGTCATCCGCACCGAGTTGGGCCGCCACTTGTTCCCTACTTTAGCTCTGTGGCAGAGGATCATATTAATGCCACTCCTCATGCTGATCAAAAGTCCCTACGCTGGCGCTCAGACCAGCATCTACTGTGCTGTGGACGAGAGCCAGGCCAACTCCAGTGGCCTCTATTACAGGCAAGTACATCTGCAACAACACCCCCCGGACTGTGAAGATAAACTTTATGAACTGAGTTAATGTTTGCATTTGTCTGGAATTCAGTCGACTTTGTCTGTTTTTCTCTGCCCATTGTACAATTGCAGAGAATGCCAATTAAATAATAACTTATGGCTATTAGCAATTGTGCTTCGTCAGTTTAGATTATCAGAACACTGTATCAGACTCTTAGACTCTTCTCCCCCTACTTTATTTCCTCATGCAGTGACTGTGCCCCCAAAAAGCCGGCACCACAGGCCCTGGATGATGCTGCAGCCAAGAAGCTGTGGGACCTCAGTGCTTCCATGGTTGGTCTGCCTTAAACACAACAGCCTGCTCCTACTGCTGGAGTCAGCTGCCCTGTTTACACGGGCGAATTAACCACAGCAAATTATTGTATTATCTATTCTATTGGGTAGGGGCATTGCATTAATAATGATTTGACCTGTTTTGGGTCTGAAAGATTTGCTGCCAAAGTTTTGCACTATTTAATCTCAGACTCCAGTCAGTTGTGTGGATATTTAAATGTAGGCTTATTGCTTCCTCTTTATATTATGCAAGTGATGCATTATTATGTTGAGCTTTATTGTATATCTGTGTTATGCTGCTATGTCCTTATCAAAATGAGGCAATGCTTGCTTTTTAATTGACCATTTTGGCTGATTGTCATCTGGTTGTATGCATTTGGGGGCGGCTGTGGCACAGGAGAAAGAACGGGTTGTCCTTTAATCACGAGGCTGATTGTTCGATCCCCGGCTCTTTCTGTTCGTACATCGAAGTGAGCAAGACGCTGAACCCCAAGTTGCTCCTGATGAGCAGGCCAAGGCCTTGCATGGCAGCTCCACTCTCATCAGTGTGTGAATGGGCGAATGAGCGGCAAATGTTAAAGCGCTTTGTCCAGTAAAGTAGAAAGGATGAGCAATGGCTTTTTTAACATTTTTATTATATTTTTTTATTTGGAATTCTAAAATGTCTAAAATGTTAATACTTCAAACTGCTGTTTTTATTCATTTCAACAATTGCCGACATACAGTAAAATTATTGTATAGTTTTTCTGATTAATTCTGTGTCAAATTCAATGCAGAACATTAATAGAAAACATGTAAAGCAAGCACAATATTTTCCTAAGAACTACAAGGAAAGGTAGAAGACAGTTTGAAGCGTTGGACTGTCGTCGTAGTAGTGAAGTGTTGTATGAAGGCTTGGAAGTGACCTTTTGTGTTGGCAAAGGTGAAAAGATTGTTGCACTTCAGAAGAGAGAGGATCCTCCACCAGGTTTAGAGAGGGAGTGGACGCCTCGGGGGAGAGCAGTTAGGAAGCAGCCAGTAGAACCATAAGACTCGTCAGCTTACCCTGTGTGTGCGTGTGTGTGCGTGTGTGTGTGTGTGTGTGTGTGTGTGTGTGTGTGTGTGTGTGTGGATGGATGCTGTTTGTTGTATCAAGGTTGCTTTTATTCTTTGAAGAGAGAATTCAACTTTGTTCCTAGGTTATCCGAACAAACTCAAAAAGAACAAAGTGTACAACGCGGAACCATCAGCAATGTAATCATTTCTGCAATAAATGTGTGATTTAATGTCTGAAATTATTACTTCATGGCAGTTATTTACTAGTAGGTGCAGTAGCTTAAACTCTTGGATATATATTCATGGCTGTAAATGAGGAGGAAAAAAAATATCCACAACAATTTGAAACTATCCATTCAGTGAGCGGAAAGTAAGAACAGAAATGCCAAGGCTGCATGTTTGTAGGTGTGAAAATCATGTCAGTAAGTTGGTATGCATCATAAATTACTCACCTAATTTCTGTATTAGAGTTCTCCAGTTGCATCGTCATTCTTATGTCATGCCGTATCATGTCAGCGTGTTCGAGTTCACTTTTATCTCGCTGGTTTCTAAAATGAATATCAGGAGAACTGATTTGACATGCTACATACTCCCCCTGACAGTTATTGTGCACAAACTGTGTTTGTGCACAATAACTGTCTTTAATCTATATGGATCATACTGATAATGTCAAAACACTTTCACTAACTTTTTTTTAAAATAAAAAATAAATAGATCTTGCCTGAAGCACCTGTCATAAATATGACTGAGAACCAGGTGTGCTCAGAGCTGCCCGAAGGGAATCTATGTTCATATTCGGCTGTCTCTCATTTTATGGGACAGAAGCGCAAAACCAACTTTACCCTTTTCAGTCCATGGGTGTAAAGTACAACCCAATGTATCCAGCACTAAATCATCTAAAAAGGACTTGAGATCATTTCATTATCAACAAATCAGAAGATTACAATGCAACCTAAATGTTAGTGTTAGTCAGTCACTTCACATACAGCGCTTATTTTCTTAACAACTCTTCAAAATGCAATGAATTCCCTCTGAAAATGAAAACGGTAGCAAAAGACTAAAGCACGAAAGCTAATAACAGCCTTCAACAATTATACATCGAATGACTTAAATTACCCCAAGGCTGTCTGACTCAGATGTTGTCCCTTGCAGTGTCTGTAGGTAATGTCATGCACATGCCCTTATCAGTTCTCCGTCCAACGGATACAGAATCTATAGCTGGGCTGGAAAAGTGATAAGGAGATGTGAGCGACCACAGTACCACAACAATTGTTACAGTCTCTAGCAAACCGTGATGGAGGACCTGTTGTTCAGGGACAAAAGTGAGAGTCCTGAAAGGTTTGAAAAGTCGCCATCCATGGACAGCCTGGAACTGCCGTCCCTTCCCTCGGGGTCGTGGTCCAAAGAGAGGAGTTTCGAAGTCGGAGCAGATGAGATCTGTATTTTTTTCACTTCCATCCTACGGTCACAGAAGAGGTAAACCCGTCTCTTTTTCTACCATCTCTGCCAGCTGAAAACTGCTCAGATCCTCACGCAGCGAGGAACTAGTCAAGCTTCAACCAGTCAGAGTGGGTTCCTGCAGCAGTGGCCCCTCGCTGTTTGACTGCTGACAAATTTTTGAGACACACCCCATTGATGAGTTTTATTTGACTGCAGCCCCGCCTGGCTCGGAGGGATTTCTCTGCTGCCATTGGTTAACGCTCACAACTCACCATACCTGCCCTCTGGCTGTTGTGGGCCGGAGCCAAATAGTTCTTCCAGCTGTCAATCATGGGGAGATCAGCCAGTGGGATGAGAGAGGCCAGGCGGGGTGTGTTCCCCACAGGTGTGGCTGAGAAGCACATTCCAATATGTACATACCTGTCGGCTCCTCTGGTATTCAGCTGCTCCTAGAAGGTCCTCTGTTGACCACTCGCTCTCCCCTCTCCTCCCCATGGGGGCCCATGCAGAGGGAGAAGGAAATAGCTCCTGTTTTAGTTGCACAAACAAATGCTGTGTGTATCTTCAATTCTTTCTGAAAGCACACCACTTTATTTAAAGTGATGTCCCATTCTGGAGCAAACCCATTGTTTTACTACATCATGGCTCATGATCAGCATGTATATCACCAATGATACAGTCACTGTATAGGTAAAGTAAAGGCTCCCTTTGTGCTTGAAGGCTGTTTGAAGTGTAAACTCATGGGAGTCACTACAACCGACCTGTGAACTATGTGAGTAGATGCAGTAAATAAAGGCAGCATGTTTTTACATTTTGCAGAGTAGTCCAGGAACCACAGACTTACATAGTCATATCTCATTTCATGCACCTTGATATGTGGAGTCAGTTAGCGCACAGGTGCAGGCAGTGGCATGTGCCCCCCCCAAGCAGAGAACATCAGATCATCTGTGCCTGTTTTCTCCCTCTGGAGATCATAAAGCCTTAACGAGAATGTGTGAAGTGGAGGGTTGTGTTGTTTGCTCCCTCTGTCTCTTTCTCTGTTCGAACCATTTTCCGTACGTCTTTCTCGGTCTTCATCTCTCTCTCTTTCCCTCTCTCACCTTCTTCATCTTGCGGTGTATCCCTCACTCTCTCAATTTCTTTCTTTCAGAGTACAGAGACAAACGGTGTATGCCTCAGGCAGGTGCGGGAATGTTCTTAGCATTCACAGGCACAGAGCGCTGCAGCGCAGCCCATGCCGTGATTACCCTTTTGGACGAGTCTGTGCATGTGTCGAGCTGTGTCAGAGCAGCCACAGTGACTAAGCTCCTTTGTGTCACCAATCACTGTACCTACAGTATAGTCTAGCTGTAGCTCGCATCAGATGCTGCTTGTTTTATTTCAAAAGAATCCTCAACTCAGGAACAGGCCTGTAACCCATTTTGTGCCCTTTGACAAGAAGAAACTGGTATTTTTTTATTTTGACACTATTTTTCTTTTAAGACATATCTTATGCTTGGGGTCCTTGAGACCCCGAGGCCTATTTAACAGCTCAAAAGACATACTTAGCATTGAACCGTCATTATTTTTTTCTACGTTAACAAAAATCGAACATTTTCGAGACCTGCTCTCTCATGATTCTGCTTGTTAGTGTTAAGAGAGAGAGAGAGATGGCGGATCGGGATCAGGATCAGGGGTGTCTGTAAGAATTCCAGGGCCCGTGCTGGGAGGAGGATTTTTAGAGGGTTGTTAGAGGCGTTCGGGGCCCTACGGCTACATTCTGTCACCAGGGATGAAGACATTGTCGAACGAGCACAAAGACAACAGGGGAGGTGCTGAGTCAGCTGTCCTCCTGGTTTAGCACACGCTGCGCTGCTCCGGACTCTTCGCCGCACGGTTCCCATCAGCTCCTCAAGTCAGGAGTCACGAATACAACGTTCCTATTCAACGAAGCCAATTTTAATATTCCGACTGCTTTATTTAAACAGGCAAATTTAAAAGCACAGCAGCACACAATATAAGATGGAAGAAATGTACTTCTTCATACAGAGACTGGTGCATGATGGGAACTAAAGATGGATTTTGAATGTTGGCTATTGTGAACTTTGATTACATGTATTTTAAAATAAAATCGAGCCCCGTTTATAATAATGTTGTACACTCAGTACTTTGAATTATAATTTTAGATTCGAATATATATCGCACTAGGAAGAAAATGCTGTTAAAAATGACACAAATTAGGCTTTTGAAAAGTTGTTTCCTATAAAATGCCATGGAGGGGCAGTGTAGTTTAAAAAGGACAACTGCTTTGTCAGCTTAAACGTCTCATATTTCAAGATTCAAATAAAAACATAATTTAGTTTAATTTCAAAAGGAAATCAATGAGGTTTTGAATCAATCTCTTAGTTTGTCTTACCACCATTTAAAGTTGTGAATCTTTACTTTTTACTTCACGTATTCCTCCAAATTGTGCCGTGCAGCCTGAATGTGCAGCCCTCTTCTACATGGTTTGACATTCTACTCTTGATATTTTGTGATGTCTTAGAATACCATCCGGAGAGGAAGGGCTGCAGCCATCTCTGCTGGCATTGTTGTCGATTATTTAGTTGAGTTCCTCTTGTCAGTGTGAAAATCTGGTGCTAAGCAAACAGGCGTCTGCCTCTCTTTATCCAGTTCCGGAGTTTGTGGGAAAATCCGACGCCGGGGCCACTCATGTGGACCAGAGGAGATCTGCTAAAACATCTTCTGTCCCTCACTGTGATTAGTGCGCACACATTCCTGGGCCCTCTGCTCGGCGGCTCCCACCACTCTGCTTCAAGCTGCTCACACGTATTAGTGTCCATGTGTGCGCATTCACACAAAAACACTCAAATATGTAAGCATGCATTCAAAGACAATGATATTCTAAATGGCCATAGCAATATATTACCAATGAAAATTGTAATAATGACAAAATCAGACAAAATCACTTGCTAATAAATACTTACATAAGTCAAACATCAAAATGACACATTGTTCCAAATGGCAAGTCCATCAGAAAACACACTAATATGTTTAGTTTAAAACACATCCTAAAGCACGTTACTATAATAAACCAGATGTGCTTTAAAATAACAACATATGCTTTGGAACACTATTCTACTGCAATCAACAGAAATTACACAACCCAGTTGCGAGAAAAAATATTGTCATTGTATATATCTACAATCCACGAGTTAGCACGACAGAAAACAAATCCAGATTCAAAAAAAGCTTTATTTCATGACTGCTGTACACTAAAAACTGATGTTGGGTTAAAACTTAGTAAATGAGAGAAAACACCAATCAAGAGCACATAACTGCAGTAGTGCAAACAATACTGTAAATATTCATTCACATCATATTGTTTTCCTCATCTTCAAGGTTCTGCCATAAAATGTCATCCACTCATCACACGCAATGTTAGGTTGGGCCAGGCAGCGGGGGAAGTACCCCCTGGCGTGTCGAATCCTCCCCTGGGTGGACTCCAGTGGAATGTCCCCGCATGCTTCCTCCAGCATTGCACGAGGTTTTCCACCGTCTACACCAGGCCAGAACAAAACCGAAACTATTTATTGATCCTGAAATTCTAAATTGCTGTTTCGTGTTTGGACCTGGAGAATGGACTGCTAATTAAGTTCAGGTGTGATGGCTTAAGTTCATTGTCCTAAATGGCAGTCCTTGCTGGATGAACACATCATGCTACAACCTGTGTTAACGGAGGTATAGGCTGGTTTCAGAGAACACATTTCACATGTCACTGTCGGTAATGCTCAAATCTAAATATTGACATCAATGATGT